TAAAATATATTATTAGTTATAATTTATAATATAAAATATTAATAATAATAAAATACCTGTAGTAGATATTATAAAAATAGAATAAGATAATAAAAAAAATTAAAAATAAAATTAGAAATTCAATAGAAATATATATTAAATAAAAATATATAGAGAACTTTTTAGTCTTTTTTATATAATTTATAATACTAGATTTAAAATAAGTTGCTGGTTCTAATCTATAATATAAGACTTTAGTAATAATAAAATAACTATAGTAGATATTATAATAGTAGAATAAAAGAATAAAAAAAATTAAAAATAGAATTAAAAATTAAATAAAAGTATATATTAGATAATAATAAATAGAAAATTTTTTATTTTTTTAAATAATTTATAATATTAGATTTAAGATAAGTTACTAGTTTTAATTTATAATATAAAATTTTAATAATAATAAAATAGCTGTAATAAATATTATAACAGCAGAATAAAACAGTAGAAAAAGTTTAAAATAAAACCAGAGGCTAAGTAGAAGTATATATTAGATAAGCTTAAGATCTTGACATCTTTATAGTATCTGTGTAGTAATAGTCCCTGGAATTTAGCTTGGTACCGGTGTATCATATAATACCCTGTATTGGTATTAATTATTTGTATCAATTTCCATTTCATTGTAGCACATCGGATCTGTAACACCATCACATCTGCCTGTAACAAGATTCGGGACAATTGATTGATGAGGGTGTAGGGAACCGTGTTTCATATGATGAATCTGCCGGGCGCGCTCCCTAGTAGCAACAAGGGCCTTGCGGACATTATCGTTTTCTTTTGGAGCTGTAAGCGGTACGGGCTCGCTGTAAAGTACCAGCTCTGTACAGTGAGCCTGGTCGTCGGCCACCAGCATTCTTGGAACTGTAGACAGTGTATCAACCACACCCGACAGAATTGTTACTTCATTGTCCAAACTTTCAAGATCTTGTAGCTCCATCTCCAAGTCATGTATATAAATTGTATGATTGGTATCATCAAGCATCATCCGATCGCCCTGATGAGACGTGGCGAGCTTTGGCCGGCCCAAGGTGTCATCTTGAAGTGTCAGAGGAGCTAGAAACATTTTTTCGTCAGTGACATGATCTTCCAGAGTATTTCCCAGAATTAAAGTTGCTCCTCGCATTAAGGGTAGGCGTCATGTACTTACTTAATTGTAGATGACTGAACCTTTTCGTCAAAGGCTGGTCATTGTCAGGATCAGTTTCTGCGGGGCGCTTTTTCCCGCGATAATTGCCCACACAACCAGGTTGCAATGCCATCAGCTACAGGGTACTTGACTTGCTTTATATTGGACGTAAGACACGGAAAGTCAAGCGACAAACGAGCCCATTATTTGTTGCTGGATGAAGAAGGATGTATTAACTGAGCGAATTCCTTGATGAATATCCACAGGTTCTCGTGGGACGGGGAACTGGCTTTGACTCATCTTTTATCGTGCTTTAGGTCAAGACCCAGAATATTCTACCACCTTCACACACCCCCGCCTTGGAACAAACCACCAGGAAAGCTCAACATAAGATCATTCAGCATGGCTTCAAGCGACCCGTCAACGGTGGAATGGACGTCCAAAAAAGTTCGAGATACATTTCTCCAATATTTCAAGGGAAATGGCCATACATTTGGTGAGCAATATGACTTCCTCTGGTGAAAACATTTCGAATTAGCTCATACCTCCGGGGCACACATAGTTCCCTCGTCGCCTGTTGTGCCTCACGCCGACCCAACACTGCTTTTTACCAATGCTGGAATGAACCAGTTCAAGTCTATCTTCTTGGGCACAGTTGATCCTCAATCCGACTTTGCCAACCTTAGAAGTGCAGTCAACTCTCAGAAGGTGGCGGATGCTTTCCTGACCCCTGCTGCGCCTTGCCGTGCTAATTATTCTACTATATAGTGCATTCGCGCCGGAGGAAAACACAATGTGATTGCAATCTTATATAACTGCACTCTGTTATCGAAATAGACTTGCTAACTGCACTGAATCTAGGACCTTGATGATGTTGGCAAGGACAGTTATCACCATGTAAGGGCCACGAATTAGAACGATCACATACTTCGATGCTAATCACTAACTGCTATTTAGACCTTCTTCGAAATGCTCGGTAACTGGAGTTTCGGTGATTACTTCAAGAAAGAGGCAATCTGCTATTCCTGGGAGTTGTTGACCAAAGTATATGGACTGGATCCTCAGCGCCTCTACGTTACATACTTTGAAGGCAGTAAGGAAGGAGGCCTGGAGCCCGATTTTGAGGCGAAGGAGCTTTGGAAATCCGTGGGCGTCCCAGAAGATCACATTCTTCCTGGAAACATGAAGGACAACTTCTGGGAAATGGGTGATCAAGGCCCTTGTGGACCCTGCAGTGAGATCCATTATGACCGAATTGGTGGGCGTAATGCTGCCCACCTTGTCAATCAAGACGACCCCAACGTTCTTGAGATATGGAACAACGTCTTCATACAGTATAATCGCGAGTCAGACCGGTCTCTACGGCCACTTCCCAACAAGCATGTCGACACTGGGATGGGATTCGAGAGACTCGTATCGGTACTGCAAGACAAGCTGTCTAATTATGACACGGACGTTTTTTCACCTCTATTCCAAGTTATCAAGGATGTCACCGGAGCCCGCGAATATCGCGGGAAATTTGGCGCCGACGACGCCGACGGCATAGATACTGCGTACCGTGTCATCGCAGATCACGTCCGTACCCTGATGTTTGCTATCTCAGATGGCGTGATGCCCAACAACGAGGGCCGTGGGTATGTCATTCGCCGAGTGTTGCGTAGAGGGGCACGCTACGCTCGCAAGTACTTCCAGGTGGAGATTGGAAGCTTTTTCTCGAATCTTGTCCCTACTGTTGTGGGACAACTCGGCGACATGTTCCCAGAGCTGAAGAAAAAGCAGTTTGACGTTATGGAAATCCTCGACGAGGAGGAGATGTCTTTCGCAAAGACACTCGATCGTGGTGAGCGCCAGTTTGAACATTATGCTCAGCAAGCCAAGGCCAAAGGGGATGAGAAACTTCATGGCGCCGACGTCTGGAGACTGTATGATACCTTCGGTTTCCCTGTCGACTTAACCCGCATCATGGCAGAAGAACGTGGATTGCAGATCGACGATAGGGAATTTGAGGAGGCGCGCCTCAAAGCGAAGGAAGCGAGTAAGGGCCAGAAAAAAGCGGCAGCCGATACAGTCAAGTTGGACGTTCATGACTTGGGCAAGCTAGAAATGATGAGTGACGTTACCAAGACCGACGATACGGCCAAATTTGGCAAGGGCAACATCAACGCCCAAGTTAAGGCCATCTATCAAGGTAAAGCATTCCACTCGTCCACCGCAGACATATCCGACGGTGAACAACTTGGAGTTATTCTTGACCGCACCAACTTTTACGCGGAGCAGGGTGGGCAAGAGAATGATACCGGCAGAATTATTATTGATGGCAAAGCCGAGCTTGAGGTTGGTGATGTTCAGCTTTATGCTGGCTATGTCCTTCACACAGGCTTCATGAAATATGGGTCACTAGCTGTTGGAGATACGGTTATTTGCGAGTACGATGAACTCCGTCGGTGGCCAATTCGCAATAATCATACAGGCACACATATCCTCAATTTCGCGCTAAAGTCAGTCTTGGGTGATGGTATCGAGCAAAAGGGCTCCCTTGTTGCCGCCGAAAAGCTTAGGTTCGACTTTTCTTACAAATCTCCTATAACGGACAAAGATCTGGCGAGAATCGAGGAGATATCGACTGAGTATATTCGTCAAAATTGTGCGGTCTACTCGCAAGAGGTTCCTCTCGCTACTGCTCGCCAAATTTCAGGAGTCCGGGCCGTATTTGGGGAAACGTATCCCGATCCTGTCCGTGTTGTCTCTGTTGGAGTGGAGATTGGTGAGATCCTAGAAAATGTGAAAGATCCGAGATGGGATGAAGTGAGTATTGAATTCTGCGGTGGAACCCACGTGCAGAAAACAGGTGATATCAAGGACCTCATCATTCTCGAAGAAGGAGGTATCGCTAAAGGGATTCGCCGCATCATTGCTGTCACTGGGGAAGATGCGCACACCGTACAGCGCCTTGCAGAGGACTTTAGGAAGCGTCTCGATCGCCTTGAGGCCATGCCCCTTGGCTCGGATAAAGAGAAGGATGCAAAGCAGATCCAGGCGGAGCTGAATCAGCTGTCAATCTCAGCTCTCCAGAAGTCTGGCTTCCGAGAACGCTTCGCTCGCATCAATAAACAGATTCTCGATGACCAAAAGGCGCAGCAGAAGCTTGAGTCCAAAACCGCTGTCGAAAGTGTTACTAGCTATTTCCAGGACCCAGCAAACAGCGACAAGTCCTGGCTTGTGGCTCAGCTTCCTATTTCCGCCAACGCTAAAGCTGTCAGCGAAGCGATTAATTATGTCAAGGCAAAATTGTCTGACAAGACCGTCTATGTCCTGGCTGCAAGCCCAGAGCAAGGCCGTGTAGCACATGGTTGTCATGTCTCTAAGGTAGACGCTCCCCCCTAAACCCAACTTCTGCCGTTCGCTTTCCTTTCTTGACAAGTTCCTTCTTGTGCGGCTAACTTGAATGCTTATCGTTAGGCAACAAGTGATCAAGGCGCTTCTGCCACGGAGTGGGCCACTGTTGTGTCTAGTGCAGTCGGAGGCAAGGCTGGAGGCAAGGGTCCCACTTCTGTTGGCAACGGCGTGAACCCTGATAAGGTTGATGAAGCCATAAATCTGGCATGCGACTATCTCTCTAAGTTCAAACTCTAGAATGTTTCCAGTTTTATTTTCGCCATCAAAAGTTGCCAGATTTACTTGGGCTTTTCTGTTCACATTCCTTTCCTCCCACGAGGGATGCATGTCTTTGACAAGCATAATTCTTCAACATTACTCCCAGTGTTATTCACAAATACTTGGATTTTGTAAAGTGGATGTTTCTTAAGCTTTGTAATTGCTTTCCAGCACGAACTACAATTCATCACATCTCGCCGCATTGCATAATGACAACATCCTGGTTGGGCTTGTCTCTGGTTGTGCGTGTATTTTCGATCATATGCACGATCTCCATCCCGTCCACCACCTGGCCGAAAACAACATGCTTACCATCGAGGAACGGGGTGGCAGTAGTGGTTATGAAGAACTGGCACCCGTTTGTGTTAGGGCCGGAGTTCTATATTGTCAGTAGTCAAGCTCGCTATTCTAGTCAAAGGTTTAGAAACATACCGCCATGCTTAGCATGCCTGCATGTTTATGCTTAAGTGAAAAATTCTCGTCCGCAAACCTGGAAGTTCCGTATATGGTACAGGAACCTGTCCCGTCGCCATTGATAAAATCACCTCCCTGGATCATGAAATCTTTGATCTTAGTCAAGTCAGCTCTGGAACAGAAGAGGTGAAACTCGAATTTGGACAAACCACGCGATGAAATTTGCAATTCTTGAATCCTTGTGATCGCCCCTGGGAGTTTTTATTCTCTCCAGTACAGAACTGACGAAAGTTTTCTGCTGTACGCGGAGTGACGTTCGCAAAAAGCTCCATCTTGATTCGACCTAGAGGCTCCCCTAGATTCCTTGTTTAGTAACCTGACATTGACCTAAAACATAGATGGTACTTCCGTGGTGAGCCTGCCCAAGCTCAGGGGTGTGACTTGGCTATACGAATTAGAAACACTCCTGTCCGACTTACCTCCTAGGGCCACATCGAAGAAAACCACTGGGTTGGCATCTTTATGGGGGAAGCTAGTGTCCTGCTCCATGCTTGACTTTGATTCTCTTTCCCCCGTATTTGTTATATGGAACTAACCAAGCTGGGCGGAATTATGTTTGTATTGAGTTCACTCTGCTTGTGGCTAACATGCACAAGACATTAGAATTCAAGATTGCAGAACTACGGAATACCAACAAGTACATTCTGGTCTTAGCTTTGGGAAATTTGCATCATTCCCCACTTTACACGTTCAGATCTATATGAGTAGTACATTTTTATCTAACCGGCATAAACTGAGCATTTTTCCGAAATCGCCCCAATGTTCCTTCTACTGTCTCATGTTGTTGTAATGGGATGTTTAGCAACTGTGGGTGTAGCGAGGTGAACAGAAGGCTAAAACCTGCTGACTACATAAATGGGTACAGTAACTAACTACAGGCCGGCTGTAAGTTAGTCATTGCGGCACCGTTCTAACTAATATCATAGTACTACTTGTCTCGTGACTTGTTGTTGCAACCTCAGCCATTTGCAAGCCTGGTGTGGAGGAACCCTCCCTTAGGATCTTATTCCGGTGGTAAATGTACGGCGTACACGATCCATGTCTCCTCCATGCCTGGACAGGGTTTTCAGATTCTTACCTTGAATTGAATCAGTGCTGAACTGTGGCTCTTTTCTTCCATCGTCCCTCCTCCCCTGTGGTCTCCGCCTAGATGAGCTGCATTGCCACCGTGGGTTTCGTCCTTTGAGACTATAATGTCAGTCTGAAGGCGTAGCCTTGACTCGATTAACACCATACAAGGAATCCTTCCCCCTCCCATGATTATACGGACTGTCTTCTGAATTGACTCCTCGTGGTTTGCCTTCTTGATTTGCGAGAGGCAATACCTCTCATACTTTTAACTTTATTACATTTCCTTGGACAAGATGTCTTCGACACCAACTACTTCATCTCCCAGTGCAACCAACACTGATCATAATGGGGCCAGTAACAATACCAGCCCTACAAGCTCACCATTGCTATTCTTTGTTGCACTTGGTTTCGGTGTTGTTTTTACAAATCTATGGTGTGCTCCTGTCGCTCTTGCTGGGATACTTGTGCGGGATTAATCGCTGCTATAGGATCATCGTTGGAGTCAAGTATTGTTTCCGATATAATCAGCGGAATCGACAGATTCGCGGTGAAGAATCAGGGGAACCCATAGATTTACTAGCCATGCCTCGGACACATCGGCGACGGCGCGAAAAGAAGTTGATGAGTATGGACGAGGTTAACGAGCGTTTCCCACTCGTCAAATACAAAGCTTGGCGTTCTTGCCGCGCTGACGAAGGTCTCTCTACTGCCGGTGGTATCGCAGCCTCCATTGTCGGTGATCATAACCTAGATGATGGCCATGGCCGCTTTACCGCATCTTTTGACGCGCTTGCCGCGCCAACACCCCAGTTGAACGATAATCTACAGCTTGAATCCGCTGTGTCTCGGACCAAAGAAGAAGTGCCCCTAGACAAAGCGGAAAAGGGGAGCTCTGGATTTGTCGGAACTCAAACCCATGTTAGGGAAAGTACCAAACCTCGGAAAATATTGCTCTTGGCTGACCGTCCTCCCAGCCCACGGACAATGACGATGACGACGTCGGAAATCAAATACGTACGGCTGTTCCCGCCGAACTTCTGGCGAATCCTGGTGACACCTGTGCCATATGTCTTGATTCTATTGAGGACGATGATGACATACGTGGGCTCACCTGTGGCCACGCCTTTCATGCCTCATGTGTCGACCCTTGGCTAACAGGTAGAAGAGCTTGTTGTCCACTATGCAAGGCGGATTACTATGTCCCAAAGCCACGTGCGGAAACTCGTGAATCTGCCATCGACCAAGAACGCACCGGCCGTCGTCTCATCGCGCCAGCTTATCCTCAAACTGTATTCTTGGGTGGAGGCCGAATCAGTAGCGCTGGGCCTCCTACAGTGCCACCGCGTGCACGGGAAGTGCTACCGACATTCAGGACCGCCTTCTCCCGACTCGGACAGTGGCGAAGACCTGGCGTTGACGACGGCCACGATATAGATAACACAGCTGACATAGCGCGACGGCCTGGTCGAGGCAGCAGCAGACTTGGCCTATTCTCTTCAGGTCCTTTTCGCCCACGGACTCCTAGGCAAAGCCGCGGTGTGAATGGCCCTGAGCGACGTACCGTGGTTACTGGGTCACCGGGTTATAATCGCACACTCGGTCAGCTTGAGGCTGGACCCGCTGTTTGAGCCGTGGCTGCCTTTCATTTATTAATGGCATGAATAAGTCAGTCTATAACATGTCGGCTTCGCATGTCCAGAATTTGGGCTGGAGTATCCCATAACTTCTATAGCCAGTTTGGCACGGATACTTATGAAATCTGTCACTCCAAGGCACCTAACGAACAAAGCTGTCGCTTACTCCGGCTGAGGAAGAGTGCACACACCCTAAGATTCCGTGGATCTATCTCTTTGATGAGTAGTACTTCGTGTCTTTGAAAGCACAACAATCACTTTGGGAAGCCCAGATGTATGCCTCAGGGTTGGTGCTATGTGGGACAAACTCAGACGAAGGTGTTCCCATTATTTTTAATTACCGAGGGGTGGAAAAACTCAATCTAAGCACCTAGGATAGGCTAGGGGTGCTCCGTGGCATCTACTTAAGTTCATCCTATTCTATGCAGAAGTGGTATGGTAGTACTTTGTTATTTTACTAATCATTTTATATTAATGTACTATAATACCGAATAAGATTTTGAGCGGAAAGACCTTTGGCCTTTTCTATATAGCTTTTTATATTAGATTTCTAAAATCTGCTGGATTTCTAAGATTAGTTGCTGATTCCAGCCTGTAGTATAGATCTTATAATAAGTATTTATATATGATAATAAACTTATTATAGCAGAATCTTTAAGTTTGATAAATAATATAAAAATCTTTATATATAGAAAACTATTATGTTTTATATATTTAGATAAGATTTTAAGTAATAGGATTTTTAGTCTTCTTTATATAACTTCTTATATTAGATTTCTAAATATATTAGATATTTAAAATTCGTTACTAATTTTAATCTATGATATAGATCTTATAGTAATTATTTTTATACAATTAAAAACTTATTATAATAGAATCTTTGACTTTATAGACAGTATAAAGATATTCATATATTTAAGAAATTTGCTAATATTTCCATGTCTTTCTGTCAGCCTGTTTCTATATTTTGTTTTTTTCTTATTTATTTCTTTTATTTTTATCTGTTTTTTATATTTATATTTATATATATTTAATCTATATTTTGGAAATAATCAACTACTTTATAATATTATAATTCACAGATATTATATTATAATTATAAAAAACAAAAAATACTTAATAAATATCTTTAAAAAAATTATTATATATAAATTTTATAAATAATAATATTTTTATTTGATTATTCTATTTAAAGTTAATGTTGCTTTATAGATATTATTCTAATAAATTATTTAATTTTTTATTTAATCATTTGTTCGCGGGTAATAAGCTATATTTAATTTTTATTTAAATATAAAAATATAAATAAAATCTAATTATAATTTTTTATAAAAACTATTCAATAATTAGTAATTATTTTTATAACTATTTTATATAATCTAGAAGTTTTTATTTAAAAAATATTAGAAGCTTTTTTAAATAATATTCTACAAATAAAAATAAGTTGTTTTATTTAAATAGTCTATTATTATTATAATATTATTATATATTTTCTATAAGTTAGACTCTTATAAACATTTATAAATAAACTAATAATAAAATTTATTAGTATTTCTTTAAAAATCTTATTATTATAGATGATAATTTAAATATTTATAGTTGTTTTTTTATAGTTTATTCTTTTATTTTCATATATTTTATATATTCAATAAAATATTTCTAAATCTAGCTAATTTAAAGTAATGGAATTTTTATAAAACTAATTCTTATATTGTTATGGCCGATTGAATCAGTTCATTTTCTACCAATCTGGTGCTAACAATATAAAATTTCAAATATAAAAAGAAGAAAAAAAAATAAGAGTAAAATATATATATCTACAGCTTATCTATTATAGAACAGCTATATAAATAGATAAAATAAATATAGTAAAGATATTAAATAAAATTAATAAAACAACATAAATAAATAAGATATATAGAGTTATTTTTATATTATCTTTCAGATAATTTTTTATTATTAATAAATAATAAATATTTTTATAGTCTTTTTTAAAACTATTTTTATAATATAATTATAGACTGTATATAATCTATAGAATTTAAAATAAAATTATTATTAAAATAATCAGAATTGAAATTTTTTTACAGCTGTTTTTAATCAGACTTTTAAATATTTTAAAAAACTGGGGTTTTTTAGATAAAAGTTATGAAAAAAATATTTTTTAAATTTTCTGCTAAATATTATAATAGATCTGTTCTATCCGAGTTTTCTTATTTAATATAATATATTAGCTATTTCTAATATATATAAAAGTTAAAAGAATTTTATTTTATATTTTATATTTTTATTTCTATTTATTAGTTCTATTTAATTCTTGATTTAGTATAATAATAATTTGTTTATTAATATAAATCAAAGTTTCTTAGAATAAAATATTAGATATATCTTAATATTAGTAAATAATTATATTTAGAATATATTTTTTTATTTTAGAATTTTATATGAACTATATTATTTATTAATAAGTTTTTTAAATAACTATTTTTAATTTTAGTTAAAATAATTAATATAAATTTTATTTCTAGCTTAAATTAAAGTTTTTTTAATTATAGTTAGTCTATATAATTCATTTTTAAAAATTAGTGATAGTAGTTTTAATAAATTTTTAAATATTTTTAAAACAGGTCGCGGTACTGTAGATATAGATAATATTTATATTTTTTAACATAATATTTATTAAAAATTTTTACTTGAAAAATAATTAGAACTAGTATTTATATTTTATTTAAAGTAGGAATATTTTTAAAAAAGTTTATAGCAGATATATTATAATAAAGTTTATTATTAATAATAGTTCTAATTAGTTATTATAAAAATTATTAATAAATAAAATTGTTTTTGAAATTAATTAGGTAAAAAATAATATACTATAAAAAGTTTTAGTTTAATTTAAAAAATATAATAAAACTCTTATTAGAACTTTAAATAAATGAAAATTTTCTATTCAAAATAATAATATTTAAAAGTTTTATTTAGATATAAATAGATTTAATAAATAACCAGGCTATATTTTATATAATAATATTCTTAGTATATAGAATAAATATTTTTTATTGAAAATATTAATTTATTATTATATATATAGTATTATATTTTTATATATTTTTCAATAATATATAAAAATTTATAGATATATACTATTATGATTATTAATAATTTTTATAATAATTAATTAGAATTATTATTAATAATAGACTTTACTGTAGTATATCTGCTGTATATATTTTTTAGAATATTCTTATTTTAAATAAAATATAAATATTAGTTTTAATTATTTTTTAATTAGAAATTTTTAATAAATATTAGATAGAAAAGTATAAATATTATCTATATTTATAATATTATAATTTATTTTAAAAATATTTAAAAATTTATTAAAATTAACATTATTAATTTTTAAAAATAATAAGCTATACAGGCTAACTATTATTAAAAAAAACTTTAATTTAAGCTGAAAGTAGAATTTATCTTAATTATTCTAATTAGAATTAAAAACAGCTGTTTAAAAAGCTAATAAATAAATAATACAGCTTATATAAAGTTCTAAAATAAAAAAAGAATATATTTTAAATATAACTATCAGCTAATATTAAAATATATTTAATATTTTATTCTAAAAAGTTTTAATTTATTTTAATAAATAAACTATTATTAAATTAAATTTAGGACTAAGTAGAGCTAATAAACATAAATATAAATATAAAATATAAAATAAAAAAAATTCTTAATTTTTATATATATTAAAAATATCTAATATATTATATTAAATAAAAAAACTCGAACGAAGCAGACCTATTATAATATCTAATAAAAAATCTAAAAAATATTTCTATATTTTTAAAAAAGTTTTATAATTTTTATTTAAAAAGCTCTAATTTTTTAAAATATTTAAAAATCTAACTAAAAATAGCTGTAAAAAAATCTTTAATTTTAATTATTTTAATAATAATTTTATTTTAGATTTTATAGAATGCCTGCAGTCTATAATTATATTATAAAAATAATAATAAAAAAGATTATAAAGATATTTTTTATTTAAGAATAGTTAAGACTAATTTAGAGAATAATATAAAAACTATATAAAAAATATTTAAATTAAATAATAAATGAAAACTAGTTTAATCTATTTAATTTTTTTGTTTTATTTATATTATATTTAGATAATATAATACTGCGGGAAATATAGCTATTTTTCTTTTTTTTTCTTTTTATACTTAAGATTTTGTTTAAATAGTACTATACTAATGAAATCCAGTTGGTTTGATCGGCCATCACAATTATAAGTTTTATTTATTTTTAAATATTATATTTCTTTGGATATACAGAATAGATATTAACTTTATTTTCGGTATATTTTTTATATTTTTTTTAAATTATTTTTTTTATTATTTTTACTTTTTAATAGGGTCGGGGGTGGTATTAGCAGATAGATAAGATCAATATTTTTTTATTTTAAAATTATTTAGCTTTAGTATAGCAGGAGCTTATTTTTTTTTAAAAAAATTATCTAATTTTTTAGTCAGACTATCGGGCTTAATTTTATATTTTTTAAGTTTAGAAATAATCTTAAAATTAAAATATAATAGAAATTTGGACTATTAGATCTATTAATAGTTAAAAATCTTAATAAATATAAAATATTTTAGATTATAATAATTAATAATAACTTAAATTAGAAATAGTATTTTTTTTAATTTAGAATACTATTTTTTAAAATAATAAATAAGAGTAAATAGTTTCTTATTATAGATTTTATAATTATATTTAATAAAGATATATTTTTTAAAAAAAATATATAATAAAATATAATATTTTATTATTATTATACTAAAATAGGACTTTTTTAATATATAATTAAAAATACTAATTTTTAGAATAATTTTTTAATTTTATTTTTTATTATAATCTAAACACCTTTATTCGTCCGATTTTAGTAAATAATTAAAAAAATTAAGTTTATTTTAAGCTGTTAATAAGCCGATTTTTTAGTA